TTTTGCTAGTCTAGCAAGAGGAAGATGTCACTTATAAAACATTTTATATAGATTTTCCCTGTATGCTGTAGACATAGTTAATTTGTAATTTAGTCCCCACTTTTAATCTGGTGGAATAGATGAAACCTTTATGGTCTAATAATCTTATAGCCAATTTCTTCTAATTTGGTTCTTATTTTTTTTCTTTGTTGTTTCTCTCAGCTGTACCTTTCTGTAACTCACTGCAGTTTATAAAACCTTGCTATATAGCTTTTTAAAAAATGTTATTTGAAAAGATGCTACCGAAATCTTGATTTTGTGTATTGTATTATTGTATTATTGACTAGCACAGTTCTTTTCTTTTACAATGTCTATAACACAAAGGGCCAAGTTCAGCTTGATGGGATTTGATGAAGAGCAACTCATGAAAGCTTATGTGTTTTATTAAAATATGTTAGTTGTGAAGGTGCTACCAGATTCCTTTTGAGTTTTCAGAGGAATTGTTTCCTATATTAAAATAATTTTTGAGTTCAGGAATCGCACTCATCCTAAAGTAATGTTTCACAAACCTCAACTTGCAGAATTCCTCAAGCAATTACCAAGTTTAAGAAACATTGCAACTAGAATTCCTTGGGTTTTTCTTTGAAAAGATTTGACTACTCATCTAATGACTAAATTTCTTAGATGAGAAGCAAAACGTTTTATTTATTTTATTTATTTATTTGATTTGCCAATTGTTTACAAGATAATAAGTATAAGTGTATACATAGTTGTGAATACATGAAATGGGTACATATAAGAAAAATAAAAGAATAAGAGAAACAATAGGACAGGGACGGTAGGCACGTTGGTGCGCTTATGCACGCCCCCTTCAAGGAAAAACATAAGGAAATCCAGTTGCTATTTAGGGACAACGGGACAACAATGACCTGGATGATTGAGAATCTCCATAGAGGTTGCTGCTATATAGTGTCCCCGATTTCCTACAGTATTCAGAAAGGGGAAAAGAAAATGTCTGTAAAATAAGCCCTGGACACTACGCACCCTCTTGTGTTCAAACAATGGCATTGCAATGATGTCATCTGCACTACATACTGTGTTGTGGGTGCTTCAACACAATTTAAAAACAAAATGGGTGCGAGCTCATGAAAGCTTTTAAATAAAATTAATTGGTTGAAATAGGTGCTACCAGACTATTCCTGATTTTTTGCTCACATAGCTAATCTATTCTGCCCCAGTGCTGCTCTTTTACTGCTTCTTCCTGTACTGATCTTGTTGTTTTAATTATTCAGGATCAATGGCAGCCCTGAGCAAATGAGAGATGTGATATTATATCCGTCAACACCTAAGAGGGAGCACAAATGCCAATATAAGTCCAAACCTCAAATGTATAATCTTTTTATTAAGTTTAACATTTGATGATGGAGCAGCGGCAGCCAGATGATAAAATAATTTCATGTACACCACCCATAAATTGGAAAAAATAGGCTGGTTTTGTTTCAAATAAAATTATATTTTAATATAGTGCTTTCTGGAGGACAGAATATAGCCCAAAAACTTAAACTCTATGAATTTTGTTTTTGCTTTGTGAAACTGTCACATATGCTTCTGTTTGAAGATCTCGGTTCTGAATGCAGGGAAATTCCCTGAGTGTAAGACCATGATGGAAGGACGGAATGAAGCAGGATTAATTTTGTAGTTGCTGTCTGGAAAAACTCACCCTGCTTTCACTCTTGCAAGAATAGTAACCCAAAAAATTCAGGGAAAACAACAATAACAAACCAATTGAGAATGATATGCAATTGGAAATGATACAGAATTACAGGAGTCCTTGACTTACAGCAGTTGGTTTAGTGCAGGAGTGTCAAATTCAAGGCTCATGGGCCAGATCCAGCCCGCGACTTGCTTAGGTCTGACCTGCAGAGCCAGCCTGGAAATATCAAAGGGCCGGCCCATCTGCCAGCCAAAACAGCCTGCATGTTGTCCACTCATGGCCCATTTTTGGCCTCCATGGTTTCCTGCTGCACTCTGCTGGCCGAAATCAGGCCATGGGGAGGTCTCACAAGCCTCCCCGAGCAGCCTATTTTCAGCCTCTATTTCAATTGATTCATTTAACATTTGTTCTTTTTTCTCCTCCAAGGTGGTGTCTAAATCACTTGGCAGCAGCATAATGACATACAGTTGTGTCAAAACTGACTAGGCCCCAATACAGCAAAGTGTCTTATATCATCTTTCAAGTCATTTTCTAAAAAGCTCATTAGAAGATACTTCGATTTCCGTGGCCTATTTTGGCTGGCAGAGTGCTGCAGGAGGCAGCACCTTCTTCACCTTGTCCTTAGTGGTATCTGCCAACTAGAACTAGGTACCCACTAAGATCTGGATGGCTGTTGTTCAGAAGAGCCAAAAACATCTGGCTCATCACCAGGTCTTTGATGAGAGTGAGCCCACTCATATCATGGAGTTTGTCATCTTTTATCTTAATCTTTTTTACCTGTGATTGATTTAATTGTAAATTTTTTGATTGTTGTGAGCCACCCAGGGGCATTGAGAATTGGGTGGCATTATCAATTTTGTAAATTATTACTAATATTAAGTCTTCCTCTACGGCTGTGTCAGAGGTAGTAATAGAGACAGTTGGACAGTTAGTTTTTAGAGACATCTGGAGAAATGGTCAGTGCATTTATGCTCTGCTCCTATACAAAAGACTCAAGCCCCCCTCCACCTGCCCCTCTGAGGTAAAACACAATTCTGATGCGTCCCTCAGTGAATGACTCCTGGTTTAGTGACTGTTCAAAGTTACAATGGCAATGAAAAAAATGACATTACCTTTTTCACATTACCATTGCAAACCATGAGTCACTTGATCAAAATTCAGGCGCTTGGCAACTGACTCATATGATGGTTCCAGTGTCCTGGGTTCATATGATGACCTTTTGTGACCTTCTGATGAGCAGTCAGTGGGGAAGCCAGATTCATTTAACAGTCGTGTTACTAACTTAACATAATATTGATTCACTTAACTGTGGCAACAAAGGTAATAAAACGGGGCAAAACTCACTTAACAAATTGAGCTTAGCAACAGAAATTTTGGGCTTAATTGTGGTTGAGGACTGCCTGTGGTAGAAACTGATTGAGATGGATTTAAAGGGTTTTTGTTTGTTTAATATAAACAGAAAAAATCTAAACACAAAATTACCTCTGCGTGAAGCGTCTCCCTTTTTGGTTAAGAATTATCCTTATCTCTCAAGTCGTAACACTCTGGCAACATATAATTTAATCTTGCTAACTCTGTATAAGATGGTCCCAATGTAGATGCACCAGTTACACCATTACAGTGATTAAGGCACACAAGTGTTGGCTGATGTTGAATAATTGTAGTATTAGTTAATAAAATTGGAATAAAAAAGTTCCATCCATCCATTAGACAGACAGGTTGATTTATAATGGAAAGCATAGTTGGTTGTTAACATATAAAAATCCCATTGGTTTCCTAACAGAAACAAGATATCAATGCAAACATCAATTGATGAGAAAAGCCTTAATGAGCCACTGACTTATATTGCTTATTTAGAAAGGTATTAACAAGCAATCAGTTATTGAAAGTCTGTTGACAAGCCAGAAGTAGATGTAATAAATATGGTACTTGGCAGCCAAATCAATTTTCAGGCCTTTTACAGGTGCATTACTTCTTTTTACAGATGCATTACTTTTGAGATTACATCCTGTCAAACATTTCCTTACGGTAATTCACCATCACCTGTCCAAAATCTGTTGTGTGCATAAGCATTGCATACTGATTCGAAGAACATGAAAAATACATTGGAAAGTACATATCATTGATACATGTGGCAATTGTCCTGTTTGGAGGGCCATCCCACCCTTGGCCCCAAGGAATTCTAGGTTACTTGGTTAGGCCTCCTTATTGATCTTATCAGCTATGTCTATGTTCATATTTATTAGATTATTCAGAAATGTTTTTATTTTCTGCTGTCAAAATGCTTTGCTAGTTTCATGGCAACCATATTCAAGTTAGTTTTTAAATATTTTTTTTCCTCTAACAAGGATGATGATGAAAAACTATCATGGCTTATTGTCTCTGGACAATTCAACGTAAATTATATAAACTTTCTTAAAATGCTTAGGAATTAATATTCAATAATTGCAACCCTTGGGTCATCACCAATACCTTCAATAGTGGCAGTTTCTAATCCAAGAGATCTATCTGCCTTGGAAGTAGCCCATGGAGAGTTGTGTAGCACTCAAAACAAAATGTTTTGAATTTTGTATTAAATAAAATGCCATTTATATCATGTTTTACAGAATTTACCAAAGTTCAGTTTGAGTTGAGTCCTGGATTGGTTGCCCTATGATGCATTGTTTTAGAGTTAAGGGTTACAGGACAATCAGAATTTTAGCAGTACATATAAGAATGATTTTTTCCCCATAAAATGCATGAAATTTCTCTGGATTTTCTTGAGGGAGAGGCGATTATACTTTTGAGTAAAGTGCTTTTGTCTTTATTGGGAATTATAAATTTCTATTAATGCAATTAAATATTTTTTCAAATTATTAAGCAAATATACTTTCAGCTACTTGAAATGTATACAGTATCTTATTACCATTTTTAATGTACATACCTAACATTTGGGAATTATGTTGTATAAAATTGTAAACATGACTATAGCGTACTTGGATAAATGATGCAGTAATTTTTGAGATTGGAGGAGGAGAAAGAGGAAGCTGGGGATATATCATGAAGAATCTATATGCAATTGCTGACGTCAAAGACAAAGGTACACAACCAGGTTTTTTATATTTTCACTGATACAGCTGTAAGATTAACAAAAATCACACTGAGAAATAGAGTACTACTTTGTAGCATTCAGACAAGTTGAACTGCAAATGTTATTCTTTTTAGAAACACTTTCCATTTTCTTGAATCTGGCTTAAAGGACACATTTTTGTTTGAACCCAATTTCTTTTCACAGTGTATTAAAATACAAGGCAAATATTTCTGAAAATCATTTTTATTTAAATAAAAGTTTAAATACATTACACAGAACATCAGGATTCCAACCGAGTTATCTGTTGCTTCACACAGCTGTTAGTTGCTAAAGCAGTACTTTGCAATGACATTCTTTAAAAACTGCACCTTTAAAAGTTTAAGATTAAGATTTAAAAGATTAAGCTAACACCTTTCCTGAATTCAGTCACCTTAGTGACTATTTAAAAGAGACTTTGATTTATTTAGCCCCAATACCTTTGCACAAAGATGCCTTCAGGTACACAAAGGTAGGTGAGACCTAATCTTTCACAGTTTGTAGTTATTTAGCCTCAATTTCTGTGACAAAGGTGGCTTAAAATATTAGATGTCCCTAAAACAGCCAGAATATTTAAAATCTAATCAGCAATGTCTCAAAAACAAACTTCTGGCATGACACCAACACTACCGGACCTGGTTTAAAAATGAGGGACAGCAACACAACACAACATGAGCGCTTGTCAGTTTATTACATTGCCGAGTTACACTAGTCCAGACTAAAAGGAACCTGATGTGATTACATTATGCAAGCTGGCTTGGTTAAAACTAATGAGGCAGGACACAAAGAATCTTTCATCGCGGGTAAGTCATCTTCCTTGGAATTTTGGTGACCCACAAATCTTAAAACCCATGGACTTTCAGCTGGTCGTCTTTAGCCAGTCCAATCTGAAGGGAAAAAAATGTTTGACTTAGATTAAATATTAAAAATGTGACCCACTCTAGTAAAATTAACAGCTGCATTTATTTTACCCTGACAACAAGATAAAACCAGCTACTTCTGAATAAAATCTTTTGACTTTAGTAGCAGAAATCAAATATATAAATTATGTGCACAAGTCCAACAATATTGAATGATAAAACTCATAAATTTTAAATGGCTGTGTTCACCTCAATGAGGAATTGGCATATATTCTTCCGTTGGTCGCCTTGAAGCTGAATCACTTCTCCATACTCTGGGTGCTCAATCACAGTACCATTGCAGGCAAATTTCTACAGAAGGAAAAAAGCATATATTAACTATTTAGTTCTGAGCACTTAACAAAGGTAAAGTAATTACTGAGGATTAAGAATTTCACAAATACCTTCTTGAAGGCCTTCACCAGTTTCTTTTTATCATAATCATCGGCAATGCCTTGGACTGTGGTGAGGGTTTTTCTGCCGTTCCTCTGCTGGATCCTTATATGGATGTAGTCCTCAGTCCCAGCAGGAAGTAAGTCATCACCCTTACTTGCATCAGCAAAGGGGTCTGAAAAAAGTTGAAATTATATATATATATAAAATGTCAATCAACAAGAGGTGCAATTTCAGGATTTACCAATGTTATGTGAATGGAAATCACCCTCCTAAACCGAACAAGGGCTTATGCCATAGTCGGAGAGGGGAAAAGAGTGATTGAGAGACTTCAATGAAAATGGGCATCTTCAGCTACATATTTGAAGTTCAGCCACTCTGAAGCAGGTGGTCCCAGGCATCCAGTTTTTAATCAGTTAAAACTTCGTAAAACTCCTTTCTTCTCACCCTTGTTAAAGCAGGAAAAATAGTTCTTCCCCACTTCTTGCACCGATGCGGAAACAAGGCTGCTTCCAGCGGAGACATTCTTCACGTTACCACGTGACTCGAGTGAGCCCTCCCACTTGCAGGGTGACGCAACCGTCAGGAATTCGCAAGTGCGTCAACAAGGGGGAGGGGGGAGAACAGAAGGAGCAAACAAGATGGCGGTCCTTCCTAACAATGCCTTCTTACGTTCATCCTAACAGCTATCAGTATCCATCTTTCAGGCGCCTGTCCCCGTTTCCTATCCCTTCTACGAGGCGCATTTTAGGCCAAGCTAGGCCAGGCTCCACCCCCCACCTCTACCGGCCGTGTTCTTGGAATAGCTGGCTTCCTTCCTAGCTTGAGTTCGACCAATGAAATCGCTC